CTCAGAGTGTGGCCAGCTACCTGTCCTCAAGGCAGGCGCAAGAAGGAGGTGGCTCAGTGCTGACATTACCCACTAATAGGAAGTCCTTAGCACCAGGGATGGAGCCGGGTGCTCTACTTAATTCAGGGGAAAGCTACTCTCCAAGAAACAGGTGCCAATTTGCAGCAATCACAATAAGAAACATCCTCTCTCTGGCTGATGCAAGCCAACAAGGTAATAGGGCATTGTACAGTGGGGAGAGATCAAAAGGATTTTTTTCCAAGCCCACGGTGGGCACTTAATCCATCTTTTGCTCTCTCTCCCTCCATTACAGCCCGTGGACATACTATTTACAGCACCTACATTAGCTGCCTTTGCAGATACTGCACTGCCTCAAAACCACTTCAGAAGGAAAGTGAATTAGAAATGAATTTGAGACATATGCAGCGGCTTTCACCACTTCCTCCCTGCCCCCAGCCAGTAGCACCTTCCTGCCTGGCTGGGCCCAAACCAGTGTGTTCCAAAGCCGATGGACACAATGGCTCCTGTCCATGGAGCTGGTGTGGAGTACCAGACTGAGGTAGGCGAAGGAAGAGTGTGGGTCAGGTAATCTGAGCAGAAAATGTCCACACTGACAAAGTCCAGGTAGTGAGACTGAGACATCTGGGAAGCAGATCTAGAAGAGGAGGTCATTTTGAACAGCCTCCACCCTCTGCATGCAAAGCCTCTTGTCAGGGCCGAGACCCAGTTGTGCAAGTGGGCTTTCCTACTTTTAACTGCAGCAGCCTCAAGCCTGTTAGGGCACCTGCTTCCTCCAACTCCAGGTCACCCAGAGCCACTGCTGGCTGAAAGGGAGCTGCCCTGCTTCTCTTTCCTATCTCTCCTCCCTGACTCTATCCCTCCCACCTCCAGACACCTCCAGGAATGCAACAATCCCTCCCTGATGTACAGACAGCTCCCAGGTATGGAATTCCATGAGGGCCAGAGGAAGGCAGGAATGTAGGAGTTTTCTGTGCCCAGAGCACAAGAAATAAATACACACACGTATAGGATATTTTTCTTATTTAAGAGCTAGTTATACACAGTCTTCTATATCTTGTGTTTTTCAAACAAGAGAACATCCAAATCTAAAGACCCCCAGCCCAAGTTCTTTCTTTATGGATGAGAAAATCTTTGAAGACCGTCACATGGGGGTACAACTGGAAAGAAACATGAACATCTAGGCTGAGGTTTTGGATTGGAATGAGAGAAGAGGTAAAAGAGAATTCAACCCAGCTCCAGCTCCATTTAAATGGCTTACTTGTTGGAATTTCCCTTAAGAGTTTCAGAGTAAATGAACTATTCAAGGAACAGAGAAATCATGGCATGTGCCAGGCACAGGGGCATCCTCTCCTCATGCTTGGTTGTTGTCTGTGGCAGGCAGGCTAAATGGTTTTGAGTGACCTTGCCCTCCAGTGCTCACACCTGTGTAACTCTCTCTCCTTGAGCGTGGGCTGACCCCAGTAACTGAGTCCCACAAATAGAATGCAACAGAAGCAATGGGGTTCTTGCTCCAAGATCAGGTAACAAAAAAACTCTACTCCTGTCTTGCTCACCCTTGCTCACCTGCTCTCTCTCTCTGCCCCCTCTACTTCAGAGGCCAGCCAGATGCCATGTGTGAGCTTTCCTCCGGAGAAGCCTCCTTAGCAAGGAACTGAGGTCTCTGGCCAATAGCCAGGGGGACCAAAGTCTGTCTACAATGACATGAGAGTGCATGGAATGGATCCTCCCCCAGCCAAGCCTGAGGTGTCTGCAAAGACTGGAGTTCTAATAGCATCTTCATGAGACCTCAAGGCTTGAGGACATGAAGAAGCTATACCTGGTTTCCTGATCACAGAAACAAATGTCAGAGAGCAATTCATTACAGTGTGGTAGCTAGCCAACACAGGGCTCTTTCTGGAAGCATGTTTTTCATGAGAAAACCTAAGCAAGTGGTGGGGGGGCACTATGAGATGCCATACAGTGGTACTGGACTTAAGTCAAGAGACCTGAGCTCCATGTTTGATACTGCCACTGACCCACTACATGGTCTTGAGCAAGACCCTAACCATTTCTGGGCCTCAATTTTCCCCACTATACAATTTGGGGGGGGGGTACTCTGAAATGGCTCCAATTATATTTACCTCAAGGACTACGAAAGGGGGATTCACAGGTCTGAGATCATGCCCAGTGGCCTTCAGAAGGATGAAAGGGGAGATGTCTGACCAACCGTCTGCTCTTTTTTCCAGGCCTGAATTCCATGGCATGAGAGCTGGCCTCAATCCTTAGTGACACCCTCTGACTTCAGAGGCCTAGCATCTCTAGGCCCTGCAGAAGGGATTTCTTGGAAGGAACACAACTGGACCTCCCTGCCCCACATCCAATGTGTATCCTGCTCAACATGTATCCTGCCTTCTGCCTTGAAAAGCCCTTAATTGATATCCTTTAGCCCTTGTTCCTCCAAGGGCCCACCTAGGTCTCCTAACTCAGCCCCTTGCCCAGGTAAAACATCCCTAGGGATTCTAGTGCCAAGAGGCATCTTTGGAGGCAAACTTCATATCCTTTCTTTTCCCAGCAGTAGCATAGGGCCTTGCAGAAGTAGAATGCTTCCCAGGTCTCTCCTCTGTACCCTAGTAGGGAATGGGTGTTCTTCTCTCCACACTAGGATGGTCCCTGAGGTCCCAATTCCCTCCGCTGAGCAGCAGAATGCCTGGGAAAAGATAGGCAGCCCCACGACACTTGTAGGATAAAAATAAGCCCAAATAAGGGGACCCTTATTTGGGCTTATTTCTACAACATTCCTTCAGGCTAGAGGGAATGCCAGACCAGGGCAGTCTCCCACTTCTCCCACTGCTGCTGCCCCTTTACCAGGGCCTGGCCAGGCCTGCAGTCTCCATAGGAATAGCCATCTCACATTGGTCCCCTCTGCAGCCTTTGGCGAGTCCTGCTCTGAAGGAACTCTATCCTCTCTCACACTGGGTCAGAGACTCCTAGGTGACTTGCACTGGAGGCCAGGACTCAATAGAATCCACCAGGGCTCCTGAGGCCCTGACAAGGGAGTGTCAGTGGGTCCTCTGATTCCTCTAGAGGGCTCCTGTGATATTTCATGCCCTGGTTGATTCCCTTACCCTATACTTTCACTCTTAAGTTCCTCAGTCCTCCTCACTCAGGGTTTCTCAACTGTTCTCACCATTGACATTTTAGGCTGCTTTCTTGGTAGGGAAGAAGGGATTTGTCCTGTACATTATAGAAACGTGGAGGAGCGTCCCTGGGTTCTACCCTCTAGATGTCAGTAGCAACCCCACCCACACAGGCCATAACAACCAGTAGCACCCCAGTGGAGAAACAATGCTCTGAATGGCTTGTAAGATCTCAAATCAAGGGTCCTGGCTGCAAATAATTGGCAAAAAGAAAGTCAGGGCACAGAAAGGAATTAAGTCTTGCTGGATCCATGACTGTGAACCCCCAATACGCGCGTGTGCGCGCGAACACACACACACACACACACACACGCGAACACACACACACACACGCGCGAACACACACACACACACACACACACAGGCCAAAACCTGTGAAGATGGTGCTAGTGTCTCTCTGCTGTTAATGAAGCTTAGGGGAGTTAAGGGGCTCACTCAATGACACACAGGTAAGCACAGGCAGGGATGACATTCAAGGCAAGCCAGTAGCACCACAAACCCTTGCTAGATGCCACATCACACCATTCTACAAGTGAGAAACTGATGACCCTTACTTAGACTCTTCTACTCCTCTAGAGCCTGGAACAGACTGTATCTCCCTTAAGGTCATGCTCCCCAGGGTGCCAGTGTTCACTCACCCACCTCCCTGGCACACACTCACACTTCTGGGTGAGGACGGGGGCGCTCTCTGCCTTCTCCAGCTTAGGTCGCTTCCTGAGCCTCCTTGATTGAGTTGTACCTTTCAGTTGCTGAACTGTCCTGATCTCCGGTGATCGATTTGCATACCATATCGATCTCAAGGGCTGTGTAATGTTTGATTTGTGGCACTTTGCATAATTTTCTGATTAAGTTACTTATTTAACCTATTGACCTTTTCTTTTAATTAGAGTTATCTGGGTTCTGCAAATGTTGAGTAGTAATCAAGTTGTGCTTTTCCCTGAGTGGAATTCCCGTCCTTACCACTTCCCTGCTTCTTCATGACTCTGGCTGACTCTAGAGTAGGGAATATTGAGCCAGCTGGCCCCCGACTTCCCTGAGTGAGTAGAGTGCACAGGGATCCAGGCCCTCTGTGGCCCCTGCTATCGAGAAGTTTGGAAATGGACCAAGACAAGGAACTGAATTGTCTGGAGTATTCAGAGCTGAGTGCACAAATGGAGACAAGGGTATGGGACAGAGGTTTGAACAATGTATCAGTTAGCTCCTGTGTGTAACAAACTACCCATAATAAAGCAACCTCAAGAAGCACCCTGTATTATCTCTTAAGAGGCTATGAGTTGGCTAGCAAGTTCTGAGGATCTGGGCCAGGCTCCAACATTGTGGGTTGAGTTCTGGTCCATATCTGCAGTTGGCGGTCCACTGAGAAAGGCCGGTTCATCCCAGCCTTGGGGGAGATAACTGGTCTTCTCTACCTTTTTCTTATCTCTCTCTCAGGTTGGCTTGCTGGAGGAAGTTGCCCATGTTTTCATGGGGTAACAAAGCAGTACAACTGGCAGGAGAGCAATCTCCAGTGCACAAAGGCTTGTGACACTTCTGTGTACATCACATTTGTTCCCATTCTAATGGCCAGAGCAACTGGGAGCCGAGTCAAGGGTCATGGCAGAAAGCCTTGCCCACATGGAAGTTGTAAAGAATTGAGTTCCTGAGAGTTTCCTCTGTCTGCCTCTCAGAAAGGTACCCCTTTCAATCTAGAGACCCCTGACACAGTGCAAAACAAAGATGACCCTCCTCCTATAGCCCCATCTACCCTGAGCACCCACCCCAAACTCTAAAGCCCAGGAAGTGAGGGCTCAGGGTATAGCTTACCAGTGCCTCTTGTTTTGCCATCTTCTTTGTTGGGGTCCTTAAAATTCTGCCTGCTTTCTAGTCACACTGAGGCAGAAGACTGAGAAAGACTGTTTCAAGCCTTCTGTCCCCTCTCCCAGTGAGACCAAGTCTTTTCTCTTCCTTCACTGGAATCAGGAAATATGGTTTCTGCCACTCAGGACCAAACAGGATGGAACACACTCCCTTCTATTCTCAGATTTCCACACCTGTCTGAAAGGAGAAGAATTGGTCCCAGGGAAGATCCAAGACCATTTTTTTTTTTTTTGGAGGCCCCTACCAGTAACTCCTCCTTCTCTTGTGTTAGACTACCACTAGTCAGCAGGAGTCCACGCCCAGCTCCTCCCCTGGAAGCAACAAAGGGGACTCTCCACCCTTTATCCTTTCTGCCATGTGAGGACAGGGCATTTACCTGCTTCTCCTCTTGAGACCTCAGCAAGAGGCATCATCTTTGAAGCAGAGAGTTCATACCAGACACATAATTGCTTGCACCTTGACATTGAACTTCCCAGCCACCAGAACTGGAAGAAATTTAAATTTCCAGTGTTTATAAGCCACCAGGTCTAGTGTATTTGGTCATAGCAGGCTGAATGGACTAAGACAGTAAAGTTGCAACATTCACATGCATATCTTTGTGTTGACTTATGTTTAATTCTCTTGAGTAAATATATCGAGGTATCATAGGGTAGATGTATATTTAATCTTTCAAGAAACTGTCAAGCTAATTTTATAAAGTGTTTGTATATCCCTACATTCCCACTAGAAGAGTATGAGATATGAGAATTCCAATTATTTTACATCTCACTAAGGCACAGCATGAGTTTGAACAATTTTAGTGGTGGTTTAGGAGCATCTAATATGAGTTTAATCTGTATTTCTCTAATGATTAGTGAGTTTAATCTGTATTTCTCTAATGACATTCTTTCACATGCTACTTGCCATTGATCTACCACTCTCTTTTTAAGTGGGCATATGATTTTCAACTACAGACTATTTTTCAGCCTCCCTTGCAGCTAGGTGGTCAAATGATTAATAGATTATGAAAGAATTTTTTTTCACCTTTACTCCTACTTACTGGAAAGGAAAGTTCTTACCTTCAGTGTGTACTTTGTATCCATCAGTTTTCCAGGCAATCATGCTGCACAATTCCTCCTCTTCAAAACTCAGTGGCAAATAAACCAAAGTCTCTATTTCTGCAGGTTTCAAAGCAGCTGCAATGTTCTTGGCTGGGAGCAAAGGCCAGGTCAGTTCCACATATTTCATTCTGTCATCAGGCTCCAGTGGCAGCAGCTACCTTGGGCAAGTTCTACACATAGCTAAGGTCAGAAGTTCCCACAAAGATCTAACAGATAGTCGTGACATCTCTCCAGATCTCAAGGTGAAGTGAGGGCAGGGAAGTTGACTCCCCTGTGAAGGTGAAGTAAAGAAGAGAAGTGGAGATTTGCTGAGCAATATGTTTACCATTGCACTCTTCCCCTTCCCAGGAGCTGGAGTATGGTGTGACAGGGACCTACATTTTATTTATTCTGAGGTTAATATTCTAAGGAAGGGTAGAATAGCAGGTTGGAGGAAACCTGGGTCTCTGAGAGTCCTTGTGGAGCAAAACTGCCTACCAACATGGCCTACTATCACTGGAGGATTGTTACCTGAAAATAAAATAACCTCTATCTTTCTTTCTTTGTTTTTTTTCACTTTTGTTTTCAATAACCTCTACCCTTCTTTATGACACTGTATTTTTAACCCTCTTTATTTCAGCAGCCCAATTTGACCCTAACATGTGCTCCAGATTTTTATTTTCCAGTACTGGGAAAATTTTGTTTTGCTTGCTTTAATCTCTTCTCAGATGGGAAAAAGAAAAATACTCAGCAAGCATTCATTCATGTCATTCATTCATCCCAGAAGATGCTGCATACTGGCATCTCAGAAGCAACCTGGAGTCAAAATGCAAAAGTTACCAGCTCACATTACCATCCTGTTATAGAAGCTTCTGAGTATTTCCAAGAATCCTGGGAACCAACTTGTCTTGATGAGAATCCTTTCTTCCAGGCCTGCAACCCTGTGTGCTCACCTTCCTCTCAAACAGTTCTTCCCTGAGCCTGTGGCTGGCCTGAGGAAGCCAGGTGCTAAAGGTGGTGGGGCATCCTCACCTCCATCCACCAAGCCTTGAGATTCCACTCATTAAGTAACAGGCTCTGCATCTCCTGAAACTCTGAGCTCATTAGCCCGCCAGGAGGTAAGTGTAGGCAACTAGGGAAAATGTGCCCTGCAGCAACAGGCTTCTCAGGCAGAAGCCAAACACAGCCCAGCAGGTATCAAGTGTAGAGGTCCTGGCTTCCAAATGCTTACAGGTGCCCTTTTTCTCCACAAAGCAGCCTTTTCCTTCCCTGCCCTTGTTTTCCTGCATTGCTAGCCCCATTCTCCATGCCTTTGGAGCATGGAGAGTGATGGAAACCCTCCAGGAGAGTTTCCAAAAGCCTGGGAAACTGCTCCAACACATCTGCCACTTCCCCTCCTCTCGGTGCACATTTTCTGTACACCAGCAGTCCCCCCATTTCATTTAGCCCCCAGATATTATTTTCAGCTCCTCTGTCTGCCTGCAATGCCCAGACCTTCTTCTCTACCCAGCAATCTCCTAGCCATCTTCAAGGCCCCGATCAAATGGCACCTCTAGGAAGCCTTCCCCTACTCCCCCAAGCACAGGGGCTATTCCTCCTTTAACTATCACTGGTGGACGAGCCTCTCTGGTCTAGTTCTGGCCCCTCTGTACCATTGGTAGCTACGTATGTTTCCTCCCACCTGCCAGTCAGTGTGGGTTTTAAAGAAAGGGTCAAGGCTATTTTCATATGTGAGTCTCCAATGCCTGGCATAGTGCCAAACAGATGACAAGTGTTCAGTCAGTATTTGTTGATGATTGAAGGGAGGAACAAATGTGCAAAAACAGACAAATTGATAAACAAACAGGCAGTTGGAACTCTGCTAGGATGTACTTCCCTTTCTAGCACTTATTCCTGTTGAAATATGTATTATACATTTATTTGCTCTCTCCTCTCCCACTCTCCTCACAGCTCCAGGAAGTCACAGGCTGTGTCTGTTTTATTGACAGCCATATGCTCAGCACCCAGTTCACAGTCTAGGCCTTAGAAGGTGCAAATAAATACCTGCTTTATAAATTTAAAAATAAGAAATAATTATATTGTGGGACAAATGGATACATGATGGGTGCCAGGATAAAAGCAGGAAGGTCCAGTGAGTTTTATAATATAAAAAGACTTGGAAAAATTCTTCTTGAAGAAAAAGAAAGAAAAAAGCAGTAGGTGGCCTCTTGGCTTTATGAACTCAGGGCTCCACTCCCAATCTGAAAGTGCAGATTAGGGGAATTCAGGCCCAAACTTATTTATAAAATAGTCATTTAAAAATCTGCCATACACACAAGGACATGTAGCTGTACTTCTTACTATTATTTTAAAATGTGAAGAGTAGCAGTTTTCATTTGGTTCTGCTTTGAACCTTTTGGTGAGTGGGGAGGTAGGGTTATTATGACTTGGCCGCAGAGAGAGAAAAGAGATGGAGAATCCGAAGTGTTGGTTGGAAGCAGCATCACCCTTCATTGGTCATTGCCCAATGGTGGCAGCCATGCGACTGGGAAGGGAATAAGGGCAGAGCTCCTTATGGAGGGCCACAGATAACAGGCCTTGGGAACTTTGATGTAAGGGATGTAATTTTAAGCAGTCTTTCTTTGTGCAGCCATTTCTTTGGAATATCCTCAATATAATCCACTACCCAGGACAATTTTATGTCAGCAGGGCCTTGTAGACCAAGGCAGGCTGCTGTGTTTTTGCTTGGGAAAACTGCTATGGGGGAAGAAAAGGGTCCAGAGGAGAATGAGGGGAGAAGCCCAGAATTACAGCTCACAGACAAGAGCCTGACATAGCCCACTCCTCCTTGGCAAATGGGGAAGGTAGAGGGATTGGCTGTTTTTGACCTATAGAAGGTAACTCTTACTGCTTGACTCTGAGACCAGAATCAACCCTCAGAGATTACCAGACTAGGTCTCCCTGGAAAGCATCTACCATTACTCACTCAATGATCACAGCACTGTGGAGCTAATATTCCTACTTTATAGATAAGAAATCTGAGGCTCAGGGTCAGTGAAGTTAGGTAGGCCACAGAACTATAATTCAAACTCGGGTCCTAAGTTCACCTTTAATATTGTCCCTAAGGTAAGAGAGCCCATTCAGGGACCTACAAGGGCCCATTAAACACAAAAGACTGGCCAGATGGGGTGCAACTGATAAGGAAGCAACCCCTTTTATGGGCATATCGTGGCTTCTTTCAAAGCAGACCTCAAACCTCCATCTCTGGACCTCTCTGCAACTCCTAAACACCTCACCAGGCACTCAGATCACCACAAGTGGGCCCTTCACCTACCCTGTCCCTGGTCTCACAGTCCTGCCTTTCTCTTGCAGTCCTTATACCTATAGCCAGGGACCCAGTCTCCTGGTTGTCCTGGGGTTAGCATCCCTAGTTCTGGGGGACCCACTTCTTCAGAGCTTAACAAGGTGCTATAAAGTTCCCACTGATTCAGAGTAAAAGCAAGTGGTCTCAGTCTTGCTCTTCCTGCTCCATGCTTCTCCCACCAGGCTCCTCTTCCATCCTGCTGGCCTCCCTCTGTCTGCTGTTTTGGCCTTCATCATGCCATGTCCTAACCATGCCCAATGCTACACAATGCATCCAGGATGCTCACCCTGTAGCAATGCCATTCATCTCCCTTCTCTCACTCCTCTTCATCCACCCATAATGTTGATCTTAAGTATTTGTTTTTGTTTTTTTGATGGAGCCCTCATCTACCCATCCTAAGACTTAAATAACTACCACCCCCATTTGTGTTCCCCTGGGTCTGTCCCATGTTATGAAAGGCCCAATAATCATGGAGTTCTCTTCTATTCTATTTTCATGCATGGCTTAACTTAACAAGCAAAACCAGTCTTCTTCCCCTTTATTCCTCCAGCACCCAGTTTGGACAGGGCACTTAACAATGATTCATCAATGAATGATGATCCCCAGAACCAAACCCTTTCCAGCCAGCCTAACCACTGCCTGGCACTCTGTAATTGGTTAATAAGTGAGTGTGGGCAGACAGGGCTCGGGGAAGAGCCCATGGTCCTGCATATGTTCCAGTTTCTGCAGTATAGACATGAGTTCTGAATCCCCTGTGGTGAGACATTTCAAGAGCCTCCTCCTCCACTGAAAGGCAACCATGGTCTGAATATGGCTTCATAGGACCTTCTGTGGTTTCATGTTATGCCCTATACATTGCTTCTGCTCATCTCCATGCAAAAAAGACAATGAATATGACCATAAATTTAGTCAGATGAGACCTGGTGACCAAAGTGCATCAGAGAGCTAAGAAGAGAAATTACTAAACAAAAGAATGAAAACTCTATTCTCTGGTATTGAGCCAACTACAAATCACCCAAAGGCAGACACTCTGGGATCCTTCATCTATCAAACTAATCCATGGGTTCAAGGTCAAGGCCAAGAATGACAAAGTAACCCCAAATCCAGAACTAAAATTTTTCCTCCATCAATAATCAGTAACTAATTTGACTCCATTTGCATGTTCATCCCCCACCCTTTAGCAGGCAGAGAGAACTAAAGCTCTGCTTAGTCTCTTCTCAAGGCCATAGTAGTAGACCAAGGACATGGTCATAAGTGTGGTAAAACATTTATTGCCAATATGCTAATTATGTTTTTGATATAGTCTTATTCACCATGAAATACAGATTAAAATTTTTTTTTGGTGAAGCAAAGTATGAGACTGTCATTAGGTTACCTTGACAGACACACACACACACACACACACACACACACACATTCCCCCCTTCCCCCAACTCTTTTTTTTCTCTCTCTCTCATTAACTACCATCAGGAAATTTCTTCCTCTTCTTCTTTTGCTTGATCCTTCCTCCTAAGAGCCACATAATTCTGAGAAAACAAGTTTAATCTAGAATTTAGCCTGAAATCCTCTTTTTGTTGATCTACACAAATAAAATAATCTGAAAGAAAGCCTTTTGTACAAAGATGTCTGTCACAGTGCTTTACCTATTAGCAAAACATTCCACACATACAAATAATGCATAACTTAAAAACCTAAAACTAGGGGAAGGGTTAAATGAATTATAGTGCAGCAACTCCACGGAATATTATATAGTCGATGACAGTGACAGTTACATGACTATGTCAGCTTAGTTCAATAAAAATGTGATAATTAGTTGCCATGTTCCAGCACTGAAATAAGCAACCATCTGAGACTTGGAAGATAAATAATATATGGACAACTGAAGGAAGCTCATAAGTTATTTTTAGGTTACAATAAGAAAATACAGTTATGCATCCCTTAACAACCTG